TACATTTCAGAATTTGCGAAAGTATCGACTAAAATTAAGCGCGCAGAATGTTGCAACATATAGATACATATGCATACATTTTTAAACATTTCTACTCGCTTTACAGCATAAAGCTCCATGACGGTACCGTGCCACTTATTTACCTACCAACTTAGCGTCACACACAAATTTCAGCAAAGTAAAAAAATTTAAATCAAACTCATTCCGTATTCATCACATTTCCACTTTGGAATTGCTTTCTCGCACTCCACAAACACATACTTGAAAGTTTGCAACCAGCTACACGCATACACTGACACTTACATGCATTCTTGCACAAGCTCTTACCTACACCCTCTTCCTAGCGTAAGCTACTTCAGCAGCTGGAGTAAAAAAGACGAAGAAGCAACGATGTGGAGGAATTGCAATTGCAATTGCGAAAAAGATAAACAACAATTATTTTATATGCAGACACAAACACACACAAACAAATACACTTGCGTATGTGCAATTGATTTGCACAAAAAAAATATACACTGCCGGAAAAAGTATTGGCACAGAGAATTTTTTACGATATATGCAACTATTTTTGCTTAAATTTTTTTCCGATTTTTTTTTATAAAAATATGGTTATTACTAAAACAAAAATCAACAAAATATAATTTTCAAAATTTGTGCAAAGCTCAGAAAAACTCAATAAATGCTCATGCAAATTTTCAACTTCCTAATCAGATTTTTTAGAATTTGCTTGAGCATGCAATTTTGTAGCCAAATAAATTTTATTATAATAAAGTGTAAGTTTGAAGTAGCTCTAGGATTTACCATTGATATTTGGCAATTTTTTGCACGCAGGCTCCTCCATGAAAAAATTTGCGAAAATACTTTGTATGGAAAAAATGCGAAATTCCTCCAACAAAAAAATTTTCAAAAACTAATGCGATTTTTGGCTAACCTCAAACTTGCATTTTATATACTACAATTTAATGTACTACAAAATCTGATTAGAAATTTAAAAATTCGCATGAAAGTCAATTATCAATTTAATTTAACAGAAATTTTTCAAACAGGTGGCAACCCTTTTAAAAAATATTTTCTGTAGTAAAATTACCTAAACCTTTGACATCCATATTGCAAAATTCAATTTATCTTATCAATTAATCAAAACTAAATTTAATTTAATCAAAATTAAATTAAAATTTTCAAAGAGGTGGCAGCCTTCAACATAAAAATTTTCGGCTTTAAGCCTATTTAAACCTCTTTCTTTTGGCAGCCATATTGCAAGATTTACTTAATCTTAACAATTTACTTAAACTGAAATTTTCTAACAGGTGGCAACTCTCTAATATTTTTCCTTCCATATTTTAAGCTATACCTCTAGCAATGCACTAGCGAAAACTGCATTCAATTCGATGCATTAGTTTTCGAGTGATGTGCGTACAAGCATACAGACAGATAGACAGACAGACAGACGGACAGACAGACATAAATTCTAAAAATTGTTGATTTGGCTTCTGTTGCTCTAATAAAGACGCCTATATTAATTTTTCTTTAATATCTATAATTATTGTGAAAAGTTCTCTGTGCCAATACTTTTTTCCCGCAGTGTAGCATACATTCAGGCGTTTTACCAGATATGCACATAAATATGAAGGAGGAACTCAGCAGGCGCCATGCAAATAAGCACCGCACCGATGCGAACCGAAAGTGTTGTGTATACGAATGCTGCACTGCATTGGTGTGGTTGGTGCCTGCCGGCTATTGTACCGCTACACCCCCCACCAACTGAACGACCAGCAGCTGTGTAGCGCGCGAATTGAGTTGAGCAAACAACCGCAAAACGCAAAAGTTCCAACATTTCGCTTTAAAGGCGTTTCTATTTATTTGCATCAGTGTATTTGCTGAATGAAGTATTGCCACAAGTGCAGCGAATATGCAGCAGCGCATATATGAATGTGTGTGTGTGTGTCTTTATTTGCTTCGCAACTCAAATGTCAACTGCTGCTGTTCGCCTTCGTGCTACAATTTGTTTGCAATTTGAAAAATGATGCAAAAGTAAAGCACAAAGCAGCAAAAGTAAACGATGTCTTGTGCAATGAGAAGGGTTGGCTTCATTTGGCAAAACAAAACAAAAATGACTATGGCTACACCACAGTCATTTGTCTGCATGTGTGAATCGCATAGAAATAATGCATCTCAGCCGGCTGATTTGGCTTCCCTTTGGGAGTTAAGATGCACATTCCAACCACTCCACTGAGGTTACACTTGCGTTTGGACAAATGTATTGGTGCAAACTCCCTATCAGTTCCACTCATTGTGTGGGTCGCCATGCATCTGCACGCCCTTCCCTTCTACCCTGCCTTGTCTACACCCTCCGCCGGTTTGTTTATCTAAACACAGCTTACCTTTACTTTTCATTTCTTTTCTTATTAAATTCACTCGTACATGAAAATATATGTATGTATGTATGTATGTATGTATGTGTGTACAATAATGAATGCAAAAGTGCAAGTTAGGAATGAGACTTGACAAAAAAAATAAAGAAACAAAAAAGACACATAACCGAGTGTGCTGAGATAAAAGAGCCTCAACAAAGTGTGGCCTTAGCTGCAGATGAAAATAGCTTAGTGCAATGAGTTAGAAATCGCAAGCGTTGCCAGAAAATTCCAACACTTCGTCAATTGGGGGTTTTGCGCAGACAGTTTTCGTCTCACACTCCTTAGCTGGCACTGAGGGAATGCTTGTTTACTTACTTGCATACACATGCATATTTAAACACATATCTAATGAATTTCATATACATATGTATGCATTTCATATATGCTTATGCATGTGTATACATATTTATTCAAATTGTCTCGCTTAAATCACTACAGACTCGTATTTATATCCTTAATTCTACCTTCCTTGAAATCCCAAGACTTTACTCACTGTCATTTGAATAATCAGTTTCTCAGTCCCTGATTTTTTGTACACTCACTGCATAATATTCATGGATATGAATAGAGTGCTTAAGAATAGTTTTTAAAGCGATACATTTATAAATGGTAGTGTAAGGTAAGTGAGAATCACATAGGGGCTTAGCTGATTCCTTTAAATTGGTTTTAAATCTATGACTGCAGACTAAAGAAAATAGGAAAATAGTAGAGGATCCGGCGAACGTCATGCCTCTGAAAACCATTTTTGTTATTTAAACATTTGGTGCAACATTTTTACCAACAATTCATCTTACGACTTAACCGCTTTCATTATGGACTTGTGGACGTCGCAAGACCATTCCATTGTGTGATTCTCATTTCTGAGTTCGTTCTGAATCAATTTAAGCTTTTCACTAAATTTGAAGCTTTCCTGGAGGCTAATCGCAGTGGTAATAGTTTAGTAAAAGTTAATTAAATTCGACTTTTTAGACAGGTGGCACCACTCTTCAAAATTAGTTTCGCGCTAAGATATTCTTAAGTATTCTTCGTCTAATATTGCGATACATATTTTAGTTAACTGATAAATTAAGTTGAATTTTATTTTTTAAACATGTGGCAACTTCACTTAATATAGTTCAGAAGTAAAGATTTTTCAAACCCAATTGATGGATACCCATATTTTAATAATTCATTTAACTTATTTAATTATTTGAAACAAATTTTTAAACATGTGGTAACCCTCTTCCAACATATCAAAAATATTCTTAATGTTTAAACTAAAGCCTTCTTAACACTCTTTCGTTTGACATTCATATTTTGGAAATTCATACCAACTTCAAAATATCTTCAAACTGCTACTTTTTGAGCCCCCTTTCGTTTGGCATCTAATTGGAATTTTTCCCCCTATTTAATTTCCTTAATTCAAATTTAATTCAATTTTTTTAAACAGGTGGCAACCCTCCTAGAGTTTAGTTAAGAAAGAAAGATTTTCAAACCCATTTCCATTGATACCCACTTTGTAATAATTTCTTTTTTTTTTTGATAATTTGAATATAATTTTATAAAATGTGGCAACTTTTTTCAAAAAAGTAAACCTTATCTGCAGTCCAAGCCTTTTAATTTGACGCCTCATTTGGCAAATGGATTGAGCAGCGCGGTTATTATGGCATTGCTTATTAAATAATTTGAATTAAATTGGTCTACAGGTGGCAACTCTGTTCAAAAAAAATAAAACCAGTTTGCACATCTACAGGCTAAGCGCTGGAACTTGACAACCCATCTTTGAAAATCGAGCGAACGGTGCAGATCTTTTATCCGGAACAAAAAATCCCTTCGCGTATTACATATATGGATTCTTGTCCACGAGTTGGATCAGCAGACCGCCCGCGGGCTTTATTTCATTTTCTAGAAAATGAAGCCCGCAGGCGTTATTGCCATATCGGAAGAGAAATAATGCCCACCTGCAAAAGGCAATAAAGCCCGCGGGCTTAATTTCCTTTTCGAAAAGTCAATAACGCCCGCGGGCTTTATTTCTTTTTTTAAGGAAATAAAGCCCATGTGCGTTTTCTTTGTTACCTACATAAACAGTAGACTCTTGCCAGATGCATTGACAGGAGTGAGAGTCTTCCAAACACCTAAAAGGATTTCTACTGCTGTAATTTTTACCCAAGTTTCGCCTCCTTCTACTCCTTTTATGGCTTAATGACAGCGAGTCTGCGGCGACGCAACTCCCCGCGAATATTCCGCTTCCCTCTCTGATGAAGATTCAATTGGTACTAACTCAGCGCTCTCAGCCGGATCGGTTATCCAAGAAATTTTAGCAATAATTAGATTAGGAAAGTCAATTTTATTAAAACATGTCAAACTTGTATGGAAATAACTAATCGTACTCGTAAATTTCTATACAAAATTTTGAAATGTTTTTATTTGCACGAAAACAAGAATATGGCCCAATATAAATTTGCATAGCATTTATTGCATATTTTGGGTAAACATCCGGAATACCAGAAAAATTTCATAAGTGAACTTTAGATTATTTTTATCTTGAAAATTTCATTACATTAACAAATAGGTTTGTAATTCATAAAATTTTTGTATTCCTTACAGTGATAAATGAAACACCTTTTGGTATGGAAGCTGTATTACTTAACTCTTCGGCAGTTTTCTTGAAATGGCGTGCGCCACCAATGAAACCACAGCATGGTAAGTCATACCAATGCACGAACTTTGGTTATTAATTTATCCGGGAGCTATTGAATTTGTGCAACAGAATTCACACATTTAATAGAAAAATTTGCAGTCCACTTCAATTTTGTTGGGGACAGTTATTGATGAAAACTGTCATTGAAAAATTCGCTGTGAAGGAAATCTTTTACAACTAAGTGACTTATACCAATCGATTTCTCTTTTCACCAAGAATCAAATTTGAAAATAAATTTTTATTTGAAATTCTTATGCCAAATTAAAAAAATAACAATTATTTTGGATTTTTATTTTATAAATCCAAAATAACAGTTATTTTAGATTTTTATCAAAAAATCTGCAAATAAAAGTAATTTTTGATTTTTATATTATATGTCCTAGATAACAGTTACCGAAGGCATTTATTTATAAAAGTCATCAATAAAAATCTGTCAATGACTTTTACTTTTAAAAGTCATCAATATAAATCAGTCACCGACTTTTATTTTTTAACTCATACATATAAAAGTCTTGTATCATTTTTCTTAGTTTTGAAGGTGTTGGAGAACAAAACTATGACTTATACAAATAACTTATAAGTATGATTAAAAAAATATCAGTTAGTGACTGGTTTTTATTTATGCCATTTATAAATACATGTCTCCGATAACTGTTATCTAAGACATATAATTTAAAAATCAAAACTTAATATTATTTGCATATTATTTAGATAAAAATCAAAAATAATTGTTATGTTGGATTTATAAAATAAAAATGGGAAATAACTGTTATTCGAGGAGTATTTAAATAAAAGTAAAAAATAACTGTTAAAGAGCAATTTTTTAATAAAAGTTTAACTAATACGGTCCCTGTATACATTTCTCTTAATATTTTGTTTTACTCTATTTCACAGGCATTTTACTTTACTATCACGTGATTGTGCGTGGCATTGATACCGCTCACAATTTCTCACGTATACTCACGAATGTGACCATAGACTCTGCCTCGCCGACACTGGTGTTGGCCAACTTAACCGAGGGTGTTATGTATACAGTGGGCGTGGCAGCTGGTAATAATGCGGGAATTGGACCTTACTGCTCACCGGCTACATTACGATTAGATCCAATAACTAAACGTTTGGATCCGTTCATTAATCAGCGGTAAGTTTTGAAGATTTTAAGTTTTCAAACACATACAAAAAAGTTAAGAAAAACGGTACTAAGTACATTTATTTTTTCTTAGCAAAAATAGTATAGATTTTGCTGTTTTTTCAACTGTATTACCATAATTAAAACTAATTTAATTTAACTATTTTCTAACCTTTACTCCGCTTCAACAGCTATCCCATCAATCAGGATCATGTCGATGATGTGCTCACACAGCCTTGGTTCATCATACTACTCGGCGCATTCTTGGCCATGATGATGCTCTCACTCGGCGCTATGGTGTTCATCAAACGCAAGCACATAATGATGAAACAGTCCGCGTTGAGTACAATCAGAGGTGAGTTGAAAATTTATAGCACACTACATCATAGTTTTCATGACAAAAAAAGTTGAAAAAAAAATCAAGCAAATTGACATCTGTCAGTGGGCGAGAAAAAAAAGAACTTGGAAAAATAATGCGAAAGAAAGTTGCTGCACGCACTTGCCTTGTTAATAAATTACAATGTGAAAAAAAAAAATATGTTGCAAGGACAGTAGCAAGCTGATGACTGCGCCGGATGGAGTCAGCTGCTACAGCAGTGACAGCGACGCCTGAATGGCGGCAACGGAAGCGTTTAACACGCGTGTTACGTGCGTGCAGCGATGCCAAAACGTATGTAAGAACGTAATACAGAATACGTAAGCAGATGCAAATATAAATTTGTATGTGATGAAAGAATTATATGTGACCAGATGCATAGTAAATACATATGCACATATGCACATACATGCATGCATGTGAGAATACAAATGTGAATAAGAATTTGTACAGCAGCAATGGCAGCACACGTTCAGGTCAGGTACATATATATGGTTATTAGGGTGGTTCAAAAAAAAATTACAGAGAAAAATAAACTTTGCGAATATATTATTTTTTCTGTGTGTGTAAATTTTACTGTCGCTGCTGAGCGAAAATCATAAGCATAATTTTTTAAACTAACAAGATTGGTAGTGCTTTCATCGAAAATATGTTGCCTTAAATTTACAGCATGCTAAAAATGTAAATTTTTTTCTTTTAATTACTGTTATAAAAGTCCGTAAAAATATTGCAATCAACGGCAAACTTTGAATTTCATATTTTTGAGGTAAGCGATACCAATGTTATGATCTGTGATAAAATTGTCACTACATACGGCCACGCCGATTTCATTTTTAAGCTTTCGTCTTACTGATCTTGAAAGATAGAATAATAACACTAGTATACAAAATATTATATCTTTGCCGTTTCACCATCATTTCTTATGTAGAATTATCTACTGAATCCGAGTTTTAGAGATATAGGCTAATTTTTTTTTTTTTTTTTTATGAAACCCACACACCCACACCCAAACAAATTACTGTAACTAAAAATAAAGGTCAAATACTTGTACAGCGATCCTATATTAAATATGATTGTGTCAAGCAGATTTTTGGCGCTAGAATTCCTTCTCATCTCATTAAATTCTAACCGTTTTCTTTAGTTCTGAAGGTTGGCTGGAAAAAAATTTTGACCACCCTAATGTGTATGTAAATTTGCCTACAGATATATATACAAAATATGTCTCCACCTTTGCTATGTGCATATTCTTATGTAAAGGTACGCACACATGTACATACATACACATCGGCGTAGCCAGAATGAAATTTAGGGGGGCGGGGGGACGGGGGGGCTCGACCCTATTAAGCTGGCATTTCAGGGTACTATTTTATATATATATAAGGAAAATTTGAAAGTAAGTGGGAGAGGGGGGGGGGGGGGGCTCGAGCCCCCCCCTGCCCCTACCTGGCTACGCCCATGTACATACATAAAATTGTATGTATGCATATAAAGGTATTTATTCGCTTGCTTGCTTCTCATTCAGCTTTCTTTATTTGCTGCTACCGCTACTGCTGTGGCTTCTTTTGTGCCACTTCCTTTACGGTGACGCTGCTGCATACACAAATAACCGTAATTTGCAGTTGCGTACGCTCATACGATGTGACCGACTGGACGTGCTTACCGTGGAGGAGGCGCTTCATTGGTTTTGCATAACTAGCAGCACCCACTAGCTTTAGGGCCGATTGCTTAATGTCTGGTTATCACTACCTCCCAGTTAAACATCGTTATCGACATTTTCGACATCATGCATATAACCAGGGAACGGATTTTTAGGACCTGAGAACCTATAAAAAAAGGCAAAATAAAGTAACGAAATAGGCTGGAAAAGGCAAAATAAAAGAGCGAAAAAGGCAGGAAAAGGCACTAGGTATTGCAAAAAAGGCAAAAAAAGGCAAAACAAAATAGCGAAAAAGGCAGGAAAAGGCAAAAACAAAGGTATTGCCAAAAAAAGCAAAATAAGGCACTAAAAAAAGACAGAAAATACGAAGAACAATCAAAAAATATATTTATTTTAGAAATTTTTATATTACAAGTAAAAAGAGAAAAACTATGAACTAGTTTCATTATACCAAAAATTTGTACTTTGACTCTTTGACTATTTTATCCTTTCGAGTTTCTAACTCATAAAACTTTAATCTGTATAGTTGTAGTAACATTGAACCACAAGATGCATTTTGAAGTTTTCTGGCAGCATTTTCATTCGATTTTCGCGAAGAAAAGCCTTGAATGTACTAAATATGCGCTCGACGTAAGTTGATACAAGTGGAGCCCAATTTTTTCAACACCAATTTGGCAAGAGGTCCCTGCGCTTCTATAAGCCGCATGGGCATGTGTATATTTTTTAATCTTAAAAAAAAAATTGTAAATGCTATTATCACTTTTTTAAAGGTAGAAAAGGCAAATATCTTAAAAAAGGCAAAAAAAGGCAAAAAAAGGCAACATCAAATGTGTATATATGGAATCAGGGAAAGCTAAATAGTGGACATTCTTAATCGAATATACTCTATCTCTTTAGCAGAAAAAAAGGCAATTTCCATAAAATCCGTTCCCTGCATATAACATGTAATCGATAAAGCAGTCACTGTGTTTAACCCGGAGCTTCTACCTCCGATATGTGTTAACCGGACATTGAACAACCGGCCCTTGGAGTTAAAGGTAGTTTTAAGGCCGTTTTCACCAACTCTGGTTAACACTAATCGCCAGTTAAACATCGCTGCCGACGTTACCGACACAGTGTTATATGCATGCAGTCAATAACGTCGATAACGAGGTTTTACCGGAGATTAGTGTTAACCAGATATTGATAAACTGGCCCTTATACCATGAATTGGCCCCAAAACTAATTTTAAAGCTCTCAATTAATCCTAACTGTATTCAGTTCTTCTTATACGATGTTTCCACGATTCGTAATTTGCTAACTAATTCGTGAATTACCCGTTTCCACGACACACATTAGTAATTCGTTTGGCAGCTCCACTTCTTGTTCTTGGCTATTTATTATTATTTTTGTGTATTACAAATATCGAAGATGGAGCCAAAATTTTAATTATCATAAAAGACTTTAATTTATATAGAGAATATTTTATTGATTAATTTTCCAGCAGCTAGAAAAAGTGCCAGCAAATGGAACCCAGTCGGTAAAAACTTCAATATATTTCCAATAAATATTAGAGAAGGCACCGATTCCTTCGTCATTCGCATGGTAATGCGATCCAAATTACCTACAAATGAGGTAATTCGCTCTCAAAATTTTATATGACGAATTACGTAATTCGAAGGGTAATTAGATGGCGAATTACGAATGGAGCGCGAATTAAGAAAGAGAGAGCGAATTGCGAATCGTGCAAACGTCGTATTAGGCAAGACTGCTTATTGAGATGCCAGGTAATGGCACTTATGTTTAATAGAGAGGGGCGGGCTGTTGTATTCACTTATTAAACCACACTTTTCCACCGCGTTTACTAAAGAACGACTCCCTTTCACAAGTTTATATTACCTTGCATTCGGTTCCATAGGAAGAGTTTTTCTGCCATTCATTTGTGGGTATTTCGAGAAGTATTTCGCCTTCTGCTGAGCTTCTGAGTCACCTGAGTTCCTTTTGTAATTTGGCATTATAATTTTTTAATTTTTGCATTGAGAGCAGGAAATATTTAATACGCTAAGTGTTTGTTCAAGAGCCTCCTTTCTCCATTTTTCATTCAAATTCGGTTTGTAAAATTTTTAAGTCCGATTCGTACATAGAGTAAAGGAAAGTATTTGTCAGTATAGGAGCTGTTGGTTACCATTTATCATAACATATTATTTACGTTCTTGACATTTTCAAATTTTCAATGCGCTTACCTAAAGGCGTTGAAGCTGGATTTATCGATAGCAACATGTTCCTTATTTTAGGGCTTGTGTCTTCAGCGTAGCCTGTCTTGAACAAAAACTCATTGTCATGGGGGCGTTGCTGATTTATAAGCATTGTGGTTGAGACTCTATGTCGCAATCAAAGCCATACCCTCGCTATGTAGTGGACAGTTTACCCAACTCTGGCTTGCAGCCGTTTCTGAGTAGCGAGACGTCTCGCATGGTTCGGTTTCTCATATCTAAAATCATCCTTTACCGTTAAGAAATTTTTAACTTCGTCATTTAACATCTGCAGGCCTAAGCTCGTTGAACATCTCACAAAAAATGCCCATATATTCATAGGTAGGTAGATAGATATGCCTTTTCGAATAGGTAGCAACCCTAATCAAAAGTATTTTTGTAAGCTAAAGATTTCCAAAAACTACTTCGTTCGGCACTCATATTTAAATATTTCATATGCATATTTTGTGTATAAGCTAACTAAGTTCGAATTTTCATAAAGGATGGCAACCTGGTTCAGCAATATTTTTAAACTTAAACTTTTTTAAATATTTTTAGTCTGACATTGGTATACAAATTTCAATTAATTGATAAATTTAGTTGAATAGGATTTTTAAAATATGGGGCAACCCTTCTAAGTATAGTTTAGAAATCTTTTAATAATTATTCGAATTTTTTATAAACCGGTGCCTCGCTAACAATCTAAATGTTCAAACTAAAGATTTCGTAGCACCTTTCGTTTGACAACCATATTTTTTTATTTCATATAAGTTATGCATAATTTACTTAAATTCGACTTTTCAAATAGGTGGCAACTCTATTCCAAATATTTTCCAACTAAGGTCTTAAACCTGTTTCGTCTGAACCCATATTGTGATACATAAACATTTAAAATTTCTCATTGCCGCAATTCAAGGTGGATGTGATTTTATAAACATGTGGCAACACCGGGAGTTTGGAAATAAAGCCCTCTCAGCCGATTTTGATTGAAAGCAATCCTTTAGTAACTGAGTTAACTTATTAGATAATTTGACTTAAACTTTTTAAATAGGTGGCAACCCTTTTCAAACCTCAAAAATATTCTAGATGTTCACAAGAATGATTTTTTAACACTCTTTCGTTTGACAATATTTCATATAACTTGTACATAGTTTAAATAAATTCGACATTTCAAACAGGTGGTGGCCCGTTTCAAAATATTTTCAAACTAAAACCTTTTTTAAACCTCTTTTTTCTAACATCCAAATTGTGATACAAATATTTACTACCTATTCTCTCCAGTGCTTCTTGTGTCGCCAGTTATGAAAGAAATCATTTCGGCGTAGCTTAGCCATTTTTGTGGTGAGTCTTCATCAATTGGTGCACAGTTATAATACAAACGAAAATATAAACAGGAAACTTGACGTGATTTTTCTAGACACCCTAGGTAATGTTTGCGCACATTACCTGCTCATTACTCGTAGAGTTAACTGGGTATACGATGGCTCCATCTTTGCCAGGTTGCTGCACCCTCTTTCAGAGAAGAACCATTCGAATTTCATATAATTCATCAAGTGCTTTAATGTGCTTTAAAGACCCATATGAAGCGCTATTCTCAAACTTAAGCATTTTTCTGAAATACCGAAAAAATTGTGCATACTTTTAGGCGCATAAGCGTATTAAAGCCACAAAAATGCGCTTAGAGCTTTAATTTCATGAAAAACGCAAATATCTAAGAAAAAATAAGAGTGATTTTTATTGTAGAACAATTGCAAGTGAATTTGCAACTATTTTAGAAATTGCCATAAAAACAACTAACTGCAGCTGCATACATGGGAAAAACTAACTCAAAGTTGGAAAACTACAATTACATGCAATTTACTGTGTATGGCCGCAAAGCCGCACCACCACCACCACCACCACCACCACTACCACTCGAGCAACTAAGTACAGACATAAGTGTGTTGTTCGCCAAACTAAAGTACTCAAAAGTAATAAATGCGCAGCGCATTTGCGAGCATTGTTGAGCGTGTTGAGTGCCAACAACAACAACAACAACAACAACACCTAAGTACCACGAAAGTAACAACAATCTGTAGAGCAAGCGTTCAAAGCAAAGCCAAAGTAGCAACAGTTAAAAATATGCAAGCAGGTGTATTTATCCTATATAGTACATACATATGTATCTATGTATGAGTGTTTATGTTTTTTTTTTTTGTGAATGTGTTTGTGCGCGTTCGTACGTGTATAAGTATTTGCTTGTATTCACTGAAGTGCACTTGAATTGCGCATTGCGCTGCCGCCCAAAAAGTGCTGTATGCAATAGCCAAAGCAGCTTGCCCAATGCGCTTCGTGAGTACTATAGCTGCACGCACATACTACACTCAAACACACACACAGCTCACACACGCAAGCATATCCACTTTTAGGTGCACTCAGCTGGCCATGTAAGCGAAATGAGTGCCACAGAAGTGATGCTGCTGAGCTGGGCGAGTAGCGATGAGATGTGGGGAGTTTGCTTGTGTTTTTTTTTTTGTGGGCGCGTTGTTGCATATTTAACTGCTGCTGTGTGTAGAGTGCATGCAACAACAATAATAACAGAAAAAATTTGCAACAATACTCTGCTCTACGCTGCTGTGACAATAGCAGAAAAAAATTTGTAAATTCAAATAATATAAATGAAAAGTGAAAAGCATGGTGGGAAAATAGTGTAAAAAAAAAATAAATTGGATATTGCAAAAATGAAAAGCGTACATATTTGTGTAGGGGAAAAAAATATAATGAAATAAATTAAAAAAAAAATTGCACTGGCAGTAAAACACTTGGCTGAATGCTGCTTTGTTGTATTACTGACAGTTTAATTGGTTCATTGCGTCGCTGCAGCGGCTTTGTTGTTGCCAATTTTCCACTTTATTCTCTTTCTTTTTTCATGCTGGACAATTTTTTTAACCAGCTTTTTTTTTTTGTTTTTTTTTGCGCTGCTCTTTGCTGTCGCTGTGATTTTCCGCTTTTTTTTTGCCAACATTCACTCCAACTAAATGCCATGCAACTCAACTAACTATGCCGGCCATTCTGGTCACTTGTCTGTTTTAATGGCATTAAAAGCTTGCTCACGCTTGTCTACAGTAAAGTAGCAGGAAGGTAGGTATGTACATACATACACATATGTATGTATTCATGTGCGAATGCACATATGTTTGGCTGTGCACAGGACAATGATGGTTGCATGTGCCATTTATTAACACATGACAAAATGCCGCAGACGCCCACAATGCAACCGCGTGCAAAGAGAGCTAACAGTGCGATTTCGTTGCTTATACGAGTGCATACATTTGCATGAAAAAAAATAAAAAAATAAATTACAACAAATGCGCACAAACATGCATACAGTTGTAGAAGAGAGAATTTAATGAAATAAGCAAAATAATGGTAATAAATCAAATGGCTTGAATGGTAGCAAAATATTCCAAAAGCAACAATATTTAAGTAAAATTAAGCCACACAGGCGTACGTACTTAAATAATACATATATGTGTACATACATATAAAAAATTGCAAAAAATGCTATAAGGTTAAAAAATAGCAAGATTCAATAAAAAGTAGAATTGCTTACATTTGCTTTTTTACTAAAAAAAAAAACGCATTGTTCAGCATCAGGTGTGATATGATTAATGGCACAAAAGTGAATATTCGTAAAAATTATGGAAAAATTTACTTGAGCGTAAATTGCTCAATTGTAATATTCAGCAATAATTTTTATGTAAAGTAGTTTTAAAGCGTGCCTGCACAATTGGCTTATTAGTTAATCCGCATTCGTGCGCTCAATTATTTACTGGTGCCAATAACAATTTGTGGAAATGACGGAATTGACGAACCTGCGAAGGCCGGAACATCTAATGATGATACCAACTTGGTGTTGAGCGCCAAGAAACTGCACTTGGAGCCTGTTCGATGTTGTTCTTTGCGTGGAGTTATCTAAATGCCATTATTACTCTTCCCTGATAAGGGTAATGTGAAGGACGCTCACCAATTAATTTCTTTATGTTCGCGATTCAAGCTGTACAGTCGGAAAATGAAAAAAAGCTGGCCGAAAATGTGGTGGACTTTACCACCGCACCAAAGTTTTCGATCAGAATTTGCAGAATAATCCAAAAATTCATCTCTTCCGATGAAGAATACATTTGAACAGTGGAGCAGCTACAATTCCTCATAGATTCCTTTCTTCGGGCAATCTGTCGAAAGCGAGACATAAACCAGATTTCGAAATTCACTATTAACAAAAACAAGATTCCTGAGATCCATGTGGCACCTCTATTTCAAATGCTATTGTTTGCCACTCATATGGACTTTATTTTTTTAAGAATTTCCATTTAAAACAAAGGACAAAACAATACCAATACAAAAAAAGTTTAAAACTTTGTAGAAAATTAAAAAAAAATCAACAAATTATCATCAAAATTTCAAAGTTTTCTTAGGAGTGTTGAGTTTTTTGTTTTGAGTATATATTTAGTTTTATAGGCCATTATATTTTAATACAATCATGGCCAAGTTTCATGTGGCCTTAGTTGCAGACGAGTTAGTCAGAACTCAATTGGATAAATGCTTTAAAAATTACGCTTAGATTACGTCGTGGTGCCATTTCAATTGGCTCTAGATAAATATAGGCGTTTTTACTACCTGCACAGTATTGCGGAATGCCGACCTTGCTTTCGATGCAGCCGAAAATCTATGCACAATGACGCTGGCGCTACGTCTTCTGCATAAATTTTCCACTGGTTCGCGTTCACGGAACTCGCAAAGACCAACTGGCGAAAGCATTTGCGCATGCTGCACTACCGCCTATAAGTATGCAACGAATTTAACGCTCCTTGAAATTTAATACGCGACATTATCACTCTTGGCATCAACGAAATTGCATTTCAAATACCTTATACATTCTTAAAGACATACATAAATACCAGACTTTTTAACTTCCCTCCATATCTTTTAATCTATTTTTAGGCGCTCACCCAAATGATGTTCTCAAAATGCCCAGTCTCTCGCGCAATGGCAATGGCTATTGGTTGGATGCCTCCTCTGGTGGCATGGTATGGCGCACATCACCCTCTGGCGATACGCTGGACTTGCAAAAGGATCAAATCGCCGACTATGCGCCGGTGTGTCTGACAAACGGCACGGTTGGTGTGAATGGCGCTGCTGATGGTGGAACTGGCAGTGGAGCTGGTGAACGCAATCAACAAAGGTGAGTTGCAAATTGTGATTATGTATATATATATTTTTTTTTTAAAGCATTTAATGCTTTCGCACGAATTCTTCGCCGGTATTGTAGTGACAAAAGTTTGTGGTACATTTTTTGGCAGCATAGTTTTTGGCGCCGAACTTGGCCTCAAACAAGTGAAACTAAGCGATAAATTGCTCCCCAAATAAGATATTCTGTGAAATTTAAACACGAAATTTGCAAAACTTCTATGTGCTACGAGGTAGTAGTAGTTGCGCGCTGAAGTAGTAGCATAGCTTTCGGCATTGTTGTTGCAAGCGAAAATTGAAATTTAAACTACCCGAATGCAAAATGCCACACACACTTCAATTTTACTACGCTCCAGCAGGCAACGTTTATTTGTATGCAGCACACTAGCATTGTGTCCCCAATTCACTCGATTCAACTCCACTTTTCCATTTTACCTACGCCTTTTTCCTGTTCCTCCTTACAACAAATATCTACCTAATATTCCTCGGCTTGGCGCCTGTAACTATGCTCTGTTTGATTGCATTGCATTTTTGGTACTCTCGTAACTATGTCCATGCTCACTCGTGTTGGCAAAAATGTAATTTTAATAATACCCAAGGTTGTTTGCACTACTTGCTGCTCTGCACTACAAACGCACCCAAAGGATATTTGGCTATACGCACACACGCAATGCATTGCAGTATATTTAGTTTATGCCATTAGTGCGGCAAATGTTTGAAAGTGTGTGCGTTCCACTCATTTCAGTGTGGTTACTTTTGCATTTACGCATTCTAGCTGCAACAACGTGAGTACTAACTTAAATACATGCATACACGTGTTACCTACTGCATTTACTTATATTTGCTTCCCATTTGCCAGTTCTGCCTTTTGGATTTTTCAAACTTCAGCCTCCAATGGACGTGCTGCATATCTTGAACGTTACTGATAGCAAACGAGGGCACTTTATTGGCGTTAGTTTTCTGGTCGAGGAAATCGAAGTTTGAAAGCGAAAATAGGTTTGGAATTTAAGAGCATAAAGCAAATTTTGGCAATTGGTAATGAGTTTGTTCACCTTTCAGCAATAAGTTTTTTAAAATAAAATTTAATAAAAAAAATTGCTTCTTCTTAAAACAATAAAAACTATTAAAAAATAATAATAAAATAAAAAAAATAAAAAATAAAATTTAAATAAAGCAAGTCAATAAAAGCATTTTTAAAAAATAAAAAAAAAATAAAAATAAAATGTTTTTCTTTTTAAAAAATAAAATGTAAAAACTAAATTAGAAAAAGAAAAAAAATTAAAAAATTAGTACTTAAAAATTAAATTAAAATGTAAAAGTTAAACAAACAAGAATTAACTAAAAAAAATCTTTATTAAAAAAAACAAAAAAATAAATTATGTTTCTAATGCTTAATGAAACTAAAAATAATTATTTTTAAAACAATAATATCTAAAATCTAAAAGAAAATTAAATCAAGAGAGGAAAAATACATATAATAAGTTTTTAAAAATTAGATTAAATTAAAAAAGAAAAAAATGCAAATTAAATAAAAAAAGAAAAAAACATTTGCTGCACGAGAACTCGAACTCGGATCTCTAGTGCTTTGCTCACTCGGCGATTCCGATTTTTGAAGCAACGCGAGGCTTTTTTCAAAGACTTTTGTACTACAATAATAATAATATTTCGAGCTATCTTGCCACCTGTCTTTTGGGTATTAGAAAACCATTCTTTCGTACTACTGCCAATTTCAAGTCCAGTTGCTTCAAGTCCACATATTGCACACCTTCTTCCATAGAGGTGCAACTGAAAATCAGATTCGAAAACGCGACTGCTTAAAGATTGCAATCAGTGAATACAGTCATGAAGGAAAAAAATATTTGTATTAATTGGAGTTAAATCATACGAATTGATTTATTTAAGAAATCGACCTAAATTGTTTCTTTTTTTGCTACATTCTAATTGCATTATTAAAAACTCAGAGTTTATATATAAATGCGTTATCGTTTCACGTGATTTTGCGCTTAACATCATAAAAACCCTAAATGTAATAGTAGCTTTTATAAGTAGCGCATCTTTATGTGTAAAAATCTCCATATACCATCTCCAACCTTCAATTATTGGTTTGTACCAATTTGATGGCAATTAAATTTAGTTCGACGGGCAACATGGCGTATGAGCAACCTTTCACTCGCATGCGATCAGCAGTGAAAACAGGCATACATATTTAAATACTACAAATGTACATACTTAGCATGTGCCTAAGCTGTTGCATTCTTATTAATTAATAGTTGATATGATGAACATGAGTAGTTTAACATAAATTAATGCATTATTAGTACTAATTAGTGAATGAAATAATTTTGTGTTTGTGTAGAACAAATATATTTACATACGTGTGTGGAGTAAAATTTGTAAATCTATTTAGGGACACTGAAAAATAAGTAGATATTTAAGATGCCAAATGGGTGTGAATTTAGGCAGTGAGCAGCAAGTGGAGTGGAGTTAGGAAATATTATTGGTAAGCTGTAGTTTTTGAACATTTCGCCTTGAGAACCCAGCTGCTATACTTCTGTGATTGTAGAGCAATAAGTATACCTACGAATAATGAATTATATCACGGACAATTTAAAAACCAAAATGAAGAAATGCCACCTCGAATTATCTCCTTGCCTCCACTCATTTGGGCCACTTCAGCCTTCAGGAGATTTTTAAAAATAGTTTATTAAATGATGCTAAGCAAGTAAACCATTTTTAAGCTCTACTTCTTTAACCGTTAAATACATTTTGTTTTTAAATCTAAACTATTAACTTTAAATTTCAGTGGTAATTTTCGCTCAGTGCCCTAACTAAATAGCTGAAATTAGCGCATACACTTTTACGCGCAGCCATGTCACATTGGTTGTCATTAATAATTCAATAAATGCATTTGCATATTTATACATAAATACTGGCCTGTTGCAGAAACAATACACAAGTATATAAGTTTATACATACTTATATGCCAATATTTGCAAAATCATGCTTACGAGCTGACGTACTTTAATTTGTTTGCTTTGACGTTTCAAAATATTTAATACGCGTTGGTGTTTGGTATTTACGTAAATTTCTCAAATACCTTGGATGTGTCGTTGTGTGGCATTATTAGCGGTTAATTTGTGGCAGCAAAAATTCCAAATATTTTTTTAGTTGATTTGTATTTGCTTTTGCAGCTGTAAATAAGAACGTGAAAAATTTACATTTTTTTATTTTAAGCATTTTAAGAATGGCATGTGGAAAAATACATACACAGAAGAGTAGATATTTAAAAAAGACGAATTAAGGGCTTACAAATATTTAAATATTAAGGGTATATATGTACATATATTTTTAAACCAGTTTTAAGTTTTAATAAAAAAGCGAAATTCGCAAAAAACTTCCGAAAATTAAAAAAAAAAAAAACACCGAAAGACATCGAGAATTTCAAAAAGATCTCGAAAAATAAAGCAACTAAATATATTCTAAAAATTCAGGAAAGGTAATGAAAAACGAAAAAGCAAAGCTATCGCGATGAATTTTAAAACTGTGCCGAGGCAACACAAAAAGTAAAAATAAAAAATGTAGAAAAACTCCGAATAAATTGGAATAGTTCCCGAAAAAAACCCGAAAGGTGTCAAAATAAATTGTAAAATTATTGGAGAATTTCCTAACAATATCCGAAAAATCCCCAAAGTTTTCAAAATTAATTTTGCTAAGTTAATATTAAAAACTCTCAAAAGCCGTCGAAATACTTTGATGAAAAAAGCAGCAAACTTTCCACAAAATTTGGAAACATATCAAAAAAGGGCGAAAAGTCCAGAAATAACATAATAAAAAACTAACAACAAAATGCCTTCGAACTTTTGAAAAGTCGCCAAAACTATCCTCAAAAAAAAATTACCGCAAATTTCAGAAAAATAAAGCACAAAATATACACAAATTCGCGAAAAGTGCAAAAAGATCGCAAAAAAACAACAAACAAGTCTGGAAATTCATGGAAAATTCCAAAAATGAAAAACAAAATATCCCCATGAAAGAACATGGAAGATAAACACGAAAGATCTAAAAAAGGCCCTGCAAAATTCAAAGCGTTCCAAAAATACCTGCTGAAGCCACAAAAAAAAACTAAAAAAATAATAAAACATAAAGTGTGAAAAAATCCCAATAAAGCGCAAGGGTTTCTGGAAGGTTTAAAAAAATCCTGTTAAGTCCGGAAAAAATAAAGAAAAAATACCGACAAGCCACGAAGGGTCTAGAAAGAAGTGTTGGTGTTGGTTGATTTTTCCGACACGGTGGTAAGATTATTTATTTTGGAACGAATCCCTTGTCAAGCTTGGTTTGCAGACAAACCGGTTTCGGCGTAATGCCATCTTCAGTGTCATTTTTGGTTTGTCTGCAAACCAAGCTTGACAAGGGATGACGGAAATTCGTTCCAGAATAAATCGTCTAGAATGATCTTGATAAATCTGCACATAAAATATCGAACATTCATAAAAAGATGCCAATGAGTCCCGAAAGATCTTCAAAAATAAAACGGCTAAGGTCCTGAAAAAAGCCTGAAAATTCACGAAGAGGTGCCAAATAGTCCCTATAGTAAAACAATATATCATTTAAAATAAAACCACGTAAATTTCGAAAACGTCTTGAAAGGTTACCGAAATTAGCCCGAAGATTTCCAAAAAATAAAGTACAAACAAAATAAAGAAGACTTCCGAATAAATTCTAAAGGTTCCTTGAAAAATCAAAGGTTCCAAAAATTCACAAAAAAATCTCGAGCAGCAAGGAAAAATTGGAACATTGGAAAATAAAATTGCAAAACGTCACAAGAAGGCTTCGAAAATTCACAAAAAATGACGAAGGGTTCCGAGAGTAAAGCAGAACAACTACTGAAAAAAGTACCATAAGTCTGCAAAAGTTTTGTAAGTTTCCTGAAAAATTCGGAAAGTATTTCGAAAATTAAAGCACGAAAAATATATAGAGCCCCAATAAATTTCAAAA